CTCGAAATTTGTTGATATCAATGAATTCTGCTGTTTTTGCCTGTTTTCAACCTAAAATTCCGTTTCTTGAGGAATTACTGTCTTATAGAATTTGCAAAACAGCGTTGACTGCTCAACCCAACAATGGTGAACGCGAACCCTGTGATACCGCCAATCTCGTATGACACCCGGTGTCAAAAATAACACGTAGCATCAGACCCAGACAAGGAAAAAAACCCTCGCCCCAGCTATGGGCTATGCATCAAGTCATGCTGACTGAAGGTTAACTAGGCAGGGGTGGCCGGCTTAGCTTATCATGCGCACCGATCCACGCTGGGAAAACCAGCAGTATGATAGGTAAAAAAGTGCAGATCTGCACTAATGTGCAACGATCGACTCTCATAGATAGCTGTGCAACTGTTGAAGACTGACCAATATTTGCAGTGGCCATGACTAAACACTTTTCCTCAGAGGAATACTAACTGACATGGCTGTTGACGTCACCCGCGAATTCTCTTTACAAATTTGTTAAGGACGTAGTATACATTACAAACGCATAGTCTGTGCATCGGTCTTGAAAAAAGGAATAGGCCGGTCTGTGGATACGTCAAATGATGTCTTCAATAAAAAAAATAGGTATTATCGGAAAATTCCTCGGCCTTCTAATTACGGAATTTAGATTGTCTAAAAAAAGAGTTCAATTTCTGAACAGAAATTTTATTTATAGTCGTTCTAGGTAAATAAGCAGTTTTCATTAAAGCTGACAATGCGCAATTGCTAAAAATTTACTTATATAAAGAAAAACGATACTGCTCAATTGTATTTGTTTCTGGAGGTCTTACGCATGTATGCATGTCCTACCTCCCCAAGACCAGTTGCCTATATCTGGAGAACTCATCCTTCTTAAGTCACTTCATCCCTTACTGGGTAGGGTGGCCTACAAGCACTCGACAGCTTGTTACAAGAACGCAGATGCTCATTTCGTTGTGATATTCGCAAAGTATAATGAGCAGCATTTCAAAAACACGACAAGCTTCCCGCTAGTTGACGCAGCTCACACAAATCCATCGAGCACAAGGACATTTGAACTTGACAAGATGCTTTAATATAAGCGTAAGTCACAAACACATGCTCGGAATCTCTCTGAGCGCATGCTCCTAACCATTCACGCTGCCTGAGCCAGCAGATCCTGCCAGTGCACAAATTTTAATTCCTTCTATCTGTCGGGCTTATGCGGAACTTGACTTTCCGTTATATTGGCTTAAGTACAATCCCGCATCTGACTGCTAAAAACTGCATTTACGACGGCTGCCATCTGTGTTAGTATTGAGATACACGAAAGTAAACCTAACATATCAGTCGCGTAGGCAGTCAGAATTACGCATTAAAGTTATCATTGCTTTCCACTCAAACTCTTCTGTGCAGTATAGGCGCACAGACCAGGATCAACTACGGCTTAGAACTGCCTCATACCACTGTTAGTGAAGCATGCTAAACTGAAAGCGATAGCGGTCGTAGAAAATTGTGCAGACTGAGTAGCTGAAATGTTAGTCTA